GGCTATGGATCTCCGAATTTGGCGGAAAGCGAGTTTGGCCCTTTGAATGAATACCACAACTGGTCCAGGAAGTGACTGCCGGAAAGTGACTAATCATGTCCTTCAGCAGTGAAAATGATGATAAATATGATTGAACTTGACTAAATCCACTAGAAAGCGGGAATAAGCAAGCTAACGATAGAAAACTGGAAGGTGGTCAAATAGGCTGCCACTTGAAGGACCTAGGAAACAACATGGGTACGTAATTCGTAAAATATATTATTAGAAGAGGCCGAATGCTATATTACGTAAAGAGAATAAGTGTGATACTGATGGCGGTTAAGAGGTAGACGGGTTGGGCGACCCCTAAGCGACTACCGCCAGCACTTGGGGTACCAGTGGGCTGTGAAGTATCTGCTGAGGATGAAGTGGATGGAAGTGGAGACCGGCGAGCATTGTAGTCGAGCTGAACTTGTTTATCTGAGGCCCATGCTACAGCAACAACGTTCACATCATCATCTTCTATAGTGAAAGAGAGCGTTGCACTTGTGGTGGTATGATTTTGGCGAGCGAGTTCCTCGCCGTCTTCATCATAGGCCGCCATAGCGGATATGTTTCCTCCATTGAGCTGAATGGGGACATTATACCTAGACTGAAGATGAGTGCGTTCCTATGACATGACAATATTTACTTACACTCCAGCTTTCAAATCGGGTAATGGTACTACAAATGCACCCCGTCCCTCATTCGAAGTCAGATTGCCGAACATTGTTTGGTTTAACCAAGTACCTGCAAGATGGGTGAGTTTCTTACTTATAAACAGCAAGGAAAGTGAATCTACCGTTAGCACTAGATCCTGTAAACACAAGCTCGCCGTCGCTTTGCCTCTTGGCCAGGCCTGCCACATCTGGTGGTTCCAAATCGCTTTGTGGGACAGTGGTACAGTCTATGCCCTGCAACACCACTCTGAATCTGTCCCCATTCCGCAGCCCCACTGAACTTAGCCAGGAGCTAAAGTATATTCCTTGCCATTGATTCTGCCACCACGGAACGCAGCCAATATACGCCCCAGAGCCACCTTCCCTTGTACTGGCAAAAGGATACTAAGGAAAAGTCAATGAAACACTTCATAAACACGCATCCTCAATTCACCTCGTCACATTGCTGACGTGTCTCGTATGTTTGTCCGACTTCCGAGTTAGTGCTACATCCTAGGGGCTATTATGAGTCGGGCAATAAATCATAAAGAGTTTCTTACGAAGCTCGGTATTGCATCCCGCCTCTCTTCTCCGCCGTCTAGAATTGGATTTGCCACCTTCATAGGTCAAGATGTCCGTTTGAGGTCCATAAAGCAGTCCACGCTTCATGATACCTCGGCACATGTTTTCAAAAATCTGAACATGAAGCGCTCAGAAAAGGCTCCAGCACCTATTCAGTTGTACATACCTCTCGCATATCCAGATTTGGGAATACAATAGTAGGTATACCCGGTTCTTCCTCTTCTTCTTCATCGTCATCGTTGTCGCTACTAGTGTTGCACCTATCGGCACAAACTGTTCTTCCATTGCGCACACAACAGCTTTTGCCCGCAGCGCAGTACCCATTGCCACAGCAAGTACCAGAAGTCGGGGCACATCCCAGTCTGTTTGTGGTGTAAGTTTGAGTCCTATTCCAAGACCCAGATCGAGCTCACCCTCCACAGCACTTTTGACCTGCCCTGCAAGATTGACCGCTATCACCGCAGCAGGAGCCACCTACTGGAGCACATCCCAGCCTATTCGT